AGCTCTTAGTAGCTGCCCTGCCTTGATCTTCCTTCCTTGGCGTAGTGGAACCTACACAGCAACTCTGCTCAGAGTACATATTGTCCCAATCTACAGAGTGTTAAAGTAACACTGAAGCAGAGTTACCACTGTTGAGGATTATGTGATATGTTTTCATGTCTAAAAGCCTGAGCTGTAGTTGTTCATCTTCAACATTGTTATCAGCGGGTTTTCTTTACTAATGCTCACTCATCAATTAATGAATTGCTTAATTATCCCATTAACTTTAACTCGGCTTCAGTGTTACTTTAACACTCTGAAGATTGGGACAATATGTACTCTGAGCAGAGTTGATTTAACTCTGGGGATTTTGCTGTGTAGCAACAGCCAGTGTGTTCACATTTCACACAATTCATGCCAATTCACATCCGTCTACTATTCTAATCTGAGATTTTTTTTGTATTGTTTTGTATTTAACATTAACACTTGTATACAAAATAATTATTGAAATGCAATAAATACCAAAGCAATCTTGGCTGCTTGGGTGTGACAGTAAAATATGATACGATTCTATATTATGTAGTGATCGGCAAAAAAAAAAAAGAAAAAAGAAAAGTATTGGGACACATAATCCATGCCTCAGAATGTTGAAAGTATTAGCACATAGCATTCTATAAAAATCTTCCTTTTTGTGAGATGTAAACATCAAACATGTTGCCAAGTCTCTAAGAATGTACACCAATACTCATTCAAAAGCACTGCAGAGCTTTTGTCCAGCTGGGAATATCTCTGATAACACCTTTTGCATTTTATAATGGGTTAAATGTTTTAATATTCATCACTGATTCAGGTGCAATTAAAGGGAAATTACTATTACAAATCCTTTGCTTTTCTTCTACTTCAAATTCCATGCCACAACACCATCCACAGAAATGCAAGATCTCTCGTCAAACTATTTATTTATTTTGTCCTGAAAACATGAAAATGACAGCAGAATGGAAAGTCAGCCAATTGCTTTTTAAATATGCGCTCTTGAAAGGCTGCACTTGAAGCAGAAGCTTGCTTAATGCTTTTTAAAATAAGAAACACAAGCACTGCACTTCACAGCTCTCTGCACTTGATTTCATGTCCAACGGTTTATTTATGTGTTTATTTATTTACTTTCTTATTTGTATGAAGTACTCTCCTCAAAACAAGATCAATACAGCGCAATATGATGCCGGATCCTCTCTCTTCCTGTCTCTCTGTGCTTTACAGAGTAAACTAGATCCTTTGAATGGAAAGGCTCATGAAACAGCCGGAAAAAACAAGAGTTTTGCCAGCATAGCATAGTTTTTGTAGTGGTAATGAGAATCTGCTCTTTTAAAAGGCTTCAATATGAATGCATTCAGTGAGATTACACTATTAACTCACCTTATGCATCAAACACCTTAATGTGGTTGCATATACAGAAAAAAACTGGACTTTTTCTCTCTTTTTAAAAAAATAAATAATGAAATTTAAATACATCACACTTCATAAATGCTACGAGTATGAAAGGTCACACTGGAAAACTTTTTCACAAATGACCTGTAATAATTTCTTGCCCTGAATGCACATTTGTCATGTTTCCTCCAGCACTTTAGAGACACAGGCCGAGGCTCAGCACAATCAGAGAGATTTAAAGCCATCATCGAAAAACACTCCATCCTTTGATTGACTCTCTTCCACTGCCCACACATGTAAACGCTCACCGACACACTTAGAAATGGCATTTTATCTGGGTTGTTCAAGTGCATATGGGAATATTAAAAGTAGAAGGTGAGGTGGAAACAGTCAGGCCTTTGCGGAATAGTTTAGGGACCATTAACGCTCCATGTATAGAAATGTAGCTGGAAAATAAAGATCCAGTTACCATATCTTACTTCAAGAAGCATTTTAGCTGTGGCTGTGTTGATTCTTTTCCCATGTGCTAATTGGTGGGGACCAACAGGGAGACCTCAGAGTAACTTTTATGAAGGTAAATGCATTGTGTTGCTTTCTTGAGCATCGGTGAATGTTTTCACCCTTTGTAATAGTTGTGCATGACTCCTTCAGTTGCTTTCAGTGTGGAAAAGATGGATCTGCTGGAAAGGGTTCAAATATGCAGAAGATGCTGAAAAAAACAAAAACAAATGAATGTGCAGAACCTGGAGGACTTTTTTGAACAGAAGAAAGTTGAACTGCTCAGGACAACTGAGGGACTCATGAACAACTATCATAAAAAAAAAACATTCGTGGATCATCCAGGTAATTACACATACCCCCGGTTTCACAAACAAGGCTTAAACCTAGTCCCAGACTAAAGTGTAAGTCTGAGCTGTTTTAACTGAAAGAAACTTGCACTGACTGATCTTAAAATATATCAGTGCCTTTGTTTTGTCTCAAGATGCACACCAATAATGTTTTTTTATAAGGCATGTTAATAAAACTTACTTACATTTCCTAATTGAACAATGGCCTAATCCTGGCTTAGTCTAAGCCCTGTCTGTGAAATCGGGCCTTCGTGTTAAGAATCAAGCATATGTAAACTTTTCAACAAGGTTATTTTTTATTAATTTTATTTATATAATTTATATTCTAATTATTTTATTAGAACAGATAAATAATACATTCTAGTTATTTTGTCTTGTCGATATGGAATATATGTAAACGTGCTAAATGAAATAGTTTATTCAGGACAGCACCAAAAAAAAAAAAACATGCAATTTTCATGATCCCTCTTATTTTGTTAAAATTATTAACATTTTGCATATTCTGCAAGGGGTATGATCTGAACTGTAATTCAAAGGGAAAACACCTTTTCATATCCCATTGGCAGATATTTGTTCCCTATACTCTAATTTAGTATAGGGACCAATTCTCACTATTAAATAGTGACTTATTAGCATACCTCTTATTAACATATTAGCTGTTTATTAGTGCTTATAAAGCACATATTCTGTATGACCTTATTCCACATCCCTAATCCTACCCAATACCTAAACTTAACAACTACCTTTTAATTATCAGCAAATTAGTAGTTTATTGAGGCAAAAGTTACACTTAATAGTTTGTTAATAGTGAGAATTATTGGACTGACTGTTCTCTTAAAGGGGTCATATGATGTTGCTTATAAGAACATTATTTTGTGCATTTGGTGTAATGAAATGTTTATGTGGTTTAAGGTTCAAAAAACACATTATTTTGCACATACTGTACATTATTGTTTCTCCTCTATGCCCCGCCTTTCTGAAATGTGTTGATTTTTACAAAGCTCATCGGTCTGAAAAGCGAGGTGTGCTGTGATTGGCCAGCTATCCAGTGTGTTGTGATTGGCCGAATACCTCAAGCGTGAGACGGAAATGTTACGCCCCTCACCATACTGTGATGCCGTGTCCGGCCAGAGCGTAACATAAAACCATGTCTGCATTTGTGATCGGAGAAATGACAAACAACAAGTGCTACTCTACTACACTGCCCAAAAAACTGGCAAATTCTTTAAATATAAAAAAATTTACTTGCAGTCTGTGAGTCAGAAGAGCCGGCATTGTAGTCTACTCTTCCAGGATCAGGAAACAGTCCTCCATAAAATGTGCTGCACACATCTGAATATTTGGGTTGAAGTGTTCTGGAACAGTGTTGTAAATACAATTTAACCACTGATTTCTAGTCGTGTCCATTTATGGAAGGCCAGACAAAGTAGTTTCGCTTTCACAATGAAACAGCGTCATGCACAGCGGCCTAGAGCGAGCAGAGGCCAGGGGCTAGCGTGAGGAACGGCCGGAGGAGATCTTCTTTATGCACCAAGAGCTTGTAACACTCCAAAGAGAAAGGAAAAATTTAAATCGCATCATATGACCCCTTTAAAAAATTCACCTAATTTTGTTCAATTTCTCAGAAAACAAGACTTCATATCTTCATTTTTACATCTCAAGTGAATGTATTTTTATTTAAGGATGTTTAGATATTTGTATTGGAAAACAAGACAAAAAAACACTAAATAAATTATATTTCCATAACTTTCTGAATCTAAGACTTGCTCTGATTTAAGACCTTTTTAAGGCCTTAATTTGTAGAAGGGCAAATTAAGACTTTTTAAGATCTACAGAATCCCCGAATGAAGCTACACAACGCACACTCGCAGCTGCATCAGCAGGACAGTGTTTGCGGTGCATCTCTGTGCCTTACACTGTTTAGGACACTGAACTGAGCTTTTGATGAGAGAACAATCCTTTCTCAGAGGCTGTAGGGGAACAGCGCCTGCTCTCTATCTCTTTAAGAACTCTCTGTGTATCTGTTCTTTAGCACACACATCTCACTGTTTCCTGTGTAAGTAACAGTGTGTATATTAGAATCAGTGATACTGGAGGACAACTGAGAAAATTCAACTTGCAGACTGGAATACTGAATCTGGTTCAGCAACCAGATTTGACAAAAAAAGGGCCTCAATGGACCATTAGGATAGCTGAGAGGATTGCTGGTGTCCACAGAGCAGCTTCTTACCTTAGACCACTGAAGCCTATGAATCTCTCACAAACACTTAATGCTGCCTCAGTGGTTGTCTTTATACTGCAATATTTTTGAGACATGCAACATTCTTATTTATAAATATTTGATTGACTTTATCAGTGCTTTAACAGCAAGAATGAAATTAAGTTAAATTAAATCTAAATAAAGTTTAACATTTAAATTAAATTAATTACATTTCATTATTTTTGCTGTTAAAAATAAGTACTGGAAATGTTTGTTAACAAAGTCAAATTCCTTGTGCGCGTGCGATCATAAAAGGCTAATGCAGGCTCATATATCCATAAACACATTCTTTCTTTTTGTTTGCCTCAGGTAGTTAAACTACCAAGTGTAAAGACTGTGGTTCATTTGAATATTATTTTAATCGGTTTACCAATATAAATGATTTTTCTCCATTTAGCATTTCTGAAACATGTGGAATTAACATGCATGAACTAGTAATTAAAGATTACCATTCATTTGTATCATCTGATTTGAGAATGTAGGGACTGCAAAGCATTGAAACACAACATCTCAAACATGAGTTCTGTACAGACATGGTAGTGCTTTATTATGATTTGTAACAGTGGGCAGAGTCATCTACTCCTCCACCAGTGGCGGAGGAGAAAGCTTTAGCTGGACATTCTCGCTGTGATAAATACTTCCTGTTCCTGGATGGACAGGGTTCGACAGACCGGCCCTCTCACTGCCATGCGAATGAGTGAGTTCTGTCAGAACAGCAAGCTGAAAAACAAAAAGAAAAACCCAGTTAATAATTACACAGCTAAAACAGTTATTACAATGACAATAAAAAAACTTTAACGGCAAAAACTATACATTAATTTAACAAAAATAATACATATACAATAATTATTATTATTATTAAACCATTTCCTTAAAATTGAGTCAGACAGCACAATTATTCACAACTGTTCGTGCACCGAATCATTTGAAAAAAATAAAAAACTTGCTTTGAAATATTAAGATGCTGCCATAGCTGCAAATAAGTAAAACATACCCATCTGCTAACAGTGCAAGATGAATAAGCAGTGTTAAAAGCTTCTTATTGTGTCTCCAAGTGCTTTCCCTTTCAGAGTTCTGTAAAAACTTTTGCCCTCTAATATTAATTTTCATTTTCAATGCAATTTATCTGTTGGCTACACAAAGCCTGATAAGGTTTGGTCACGTGTGATTTTGTTGGCCGAGTCTAGGTCAACGTCAAATTTAGGGTTTCATGCCTTTTATTGTTTACACCTGGCATTAAATGGATAGTTCACCCAAAAATGAAATTCTGTCATCATTTACACACTAACATGTTGTACCAAACCTGCATGAGCTTTCTTTGTTCTCTGGAACAGTAAAAAAAAAAAGATATTTTGATAGTTCATTGACAATGGATGTCATCGGTCATCAAAAGGTATCTTCTTTTGTGTTCCACAGAATGTAAATGAGAGTAAATGATGACAGAATTTCTTATTTTAGGTTGAACAACCCCTTTAACACGCATTTCATGCAGCACTTAATGTCAATTATTATTGTTTTATTGACAACAGTATCAATCTGTTGGTGTTGGCCAGTAGAGGTTATGCAGTAACCTGGATTGCACCATGCAGTAAGATATACAGAAGACTGTAAAAAAAAACTTAAACACAGGCTCACACCAACCAACCCGCACTCATTAGCAGCATTAGCCTGTCCAGAGTCATTCATTAATGTGTATATTTTCAGCAGGGACCTCGTTACAGCTCGAGCAATCAATGCGCATTTAACGAAACAGCATGAATCAAACAGCATAATCTATCCTTCTCTCTCCAGCCTCACTTTGAAGCCCTCCTTTGCATCTTTATCTTCTCCTTCCCTTTCTGATCTCACTCAAATACTCCTTTCCTCATTCCCGTCCACTCCCTCTCTAATCAGTCTCTTTCTTTCTATGGGCAAACCAACTTTTCAGCATCAAATCCATCTGCATTACACATTTCAATGCACTCATTTTGTGTCCCCTTCTTTCTCCTGCTGTTTATCACCAGTCTTTACAACAGACTGCCATTTATAAGCCATAGTTCTATTCCTCGGTCAAGCTTATTTTCTTTTTTCTTTCGCTTCCCTATATAAACAGGACACCTGCTAAGCGAAGGCTACGGAGAGTGACGGATAAAAGCAAACAGAGACACCGAAAGCACGTCAGTGGCTAATCATCGCCTGTCACTGCAGTGGCTTTATTATTAGCCCCATACTGTTAGCAAACAGGCTAAACACAGAGTATGAAGTCTGGGCACGTCTAATACCAGTAACAGTCTTTCTATCATACTTTACTATGAGCAATTTTCCACACTGCTAACCAGGATTGATGTTCCTCTGTGAAAAAGCCTAGCATTAGATACTATGGCAACCATGTTATGTTTTCATTTTTTTTACTGCATCTATAGAATAATCTATATGGTTGTTTGTCTGTTTGTTTAAGAAATGTTTAGTTACTTTTACAGTATGTGACCCTGGACCACAAAACCAGTCATAAGTAGCACAGGTATTTGTAGCGATAGCCAATAATACATTGTATGGGTCAAAATTATAGATTTTTAGGATATTAAGGATATTAAGTAAAGATAATTTTCCATGAAGATATTTTGTAAAATATATCAAAACTTCATTTTTGATTAGTAATATGCATTGCTAAGGACTTAATTTGGACAACTTTAAAGGTGATTTTCTCAATATTACCCTCAGATTTCAGATTTTTAAATAGTTGTATCTCGGCCAAATATTGTCCTAACAAACCATACATCAATGGAAGGCTTATTTATTCAACTTTCGGACGATGTAAATCTCAATTTAAAAAAATTGACCCTTATGACTGGTTTTGTGGTCCAGGGTCACGTATAAGAAAGAGACTAGGGAGTTGGGATATACCAGTATTGACGATAATAGTGATATTTAAATAACAAAATATCGTTATCGTGTTATTTGGAGGTGTCGCAATATACCGGTAATGTCGATATTTAAAAATGGATAGTACACATAAGACAATACAACACGTAATAATCTAGAGTCAGCGCCATTATGGAGTACTAAACTCTCACATATAATTTGTTTCATTCATACTCGACGCCGGAGGGCGCCCTCACACAGAAAGTCCACATGCAAGACTCATAGGAGTAATAGAACTTATGATGTTCCAGGAAATCTCTGTAGGCATCTAGCTATCACTGTAGACGAGTACAATGCAGAAAGAAATGTTTTATCTGATGAAACACGAAGACAATCAACACACGATTGCAACAGTGTATGGATTATCTGTGTTCTTTAAGCCATTTTAGGAATTTTACTAAGGATGTGTATTTATAAGGTAATGCTAATCGACATAGCATTTATCCACTCTATAGAATTCTATAAAATCATTTAATTTCAGCCTCATTCTGTAAAAAGAATCAGTTCACAGAAGGAAGTTATTTAGAACACCCGTTTAGAGTAAAAATGTATTTTTATTACAACAAATTGCTGTATTTTGAAACTATACCAAACTAAAAACGGTTAGCATTTTAGTCTCATCTGTTTAGTGTAATTGATCCTTCTGTATACAATGGTGTGATTCATTGGTCAAAAAAGGAAGAAAAAAATGGATTTGACTAATAGCATGGTATTTATTTATTTTTCGAGATTTCTATATGTATATTACAATATATCGTTATCGTGAATCTTTGTGCACACGATGATCGTGTAGTGAAAAATCTGATCAGCCCTAATAGAAACTACAACAAATCTGTACATGTGATGTACTTCTAAGTGTGTTAGCTTGTAATGGCTTCTCAGCGTGAGTCATACATGGAGGCGATGTATGAAAGGTTCGCCTTTGTGTGAAAAATATGGTGTATGATTTAATTACATTAGTGGAGAGCTGTCAAAGTGTTAGGTATGAAAAAGGACACACTTTGTGCTATGCTGTGTGCGATGGTACCCACTGTAAAATCCATATATGGATAAGGACGAAAAGAGAGCCTGAAGGTTTATTCACACTAAGAACTACGTGATAAAGCAAGCAATTTTCCAGAACCACATAGACATCGAGCTGTTGATATTACTGGTGTCCGAGTACACGGAAAATAATACAACTGATAGGGGTCTGAAGCAATGCATTTTGGGGAGGGGGGGTTACTGTGTTACACCACATTCTCTAACAAGATTGATTATAACACATTTTAGTGACCAAATATTCTAGAATTGTGTATTCTAGTGTGTAGAAGACCATTTGTAATGCAGTACATGAATGTTTCTTGTGTTTGTAATGGTTTTTATTATGCTGCAGGTAGACTTTTTCTTTCATTCAGTGTCTGGTTTGACAGGTCATTGTATTTTGCCCTGGGATGAAGGAGTGAGTGATGACAGAATGACAAAAAAGAATAATTTTTCAATGTGAATGAAAGTCTAATGGGTTTTGATTCATTTTGAATGAATGACATGAGTAACTGATAACAGAATATTCATTTCTAGGTGAACTATTCATTTAAATTGCAGACGGTTGATTATAATATCTTTTTAATTCTGTAATTTCTTTAATTCCTTTTCATCATTTCTAAGATTGCTTAAAGTTGAATGAAAGGATGAGTTGAATGAAATTAATGAATATTTTGGGCCTCTACCCTTGGGAGAAAGAGAGGGTGACAGGATCGGGAAAGGTCCACGAGCCAGGACTTGAACTCGGGATGCCCAAAGCACAACGGGCGCTATATGTCGGCGCACTACCCACGAGGCTTTCGGCACCGATGTTGTAACCTAATCTACGGTTTTAAAGCTAAAATGTCTTAATGATGGATTTGTTTCTTACAAACACACAGCTTTTCATTCACAAGATGTTGATTGATGGACTGGAGTCGTGTGGATTATTGTGGAGTCTCATTCTAACGGCACCCATTCACTGCAGAGCATCAATTGGTGAGTGTTATAATGCTACATTTCTCTAAATCTGTTCCCATTAAGAAATAAAATCATCATCTACATCTTGGATGGCCTGAGGGCAAGTACATTTTCAGATTTTTTTTTGGATTAACCATTCCTTTAAGGATTACAATATATCGTTATCGTGAATCTTTGTGCACACGATGATCGTGTAGTGAAAAATCTGATCAGCCCTAATAGAAACTACAACAAATCTGTACATGTGATGTACTTCTAAGTGTGTTAGCTTGTAATGGCTTCTCAGCGTGAGTCATACATGGAGGCGATGTATGAAAGGTTCGCCTTTGTGTGAAAAATATGGTGTATGATTTAATTACATTAGTGGAGAGCTGTCAAAGTGTTAGGTATGAAAAAGGACACACTTTGTGCTATGCTGTGTGCGATGGTACCCACTGTAAAATCCATATATGGATAAGGACGAAAAGAGAGCCTGAAGGTTTATTCACACTAAGAACTACATGATAAAGCAAGCAATTTTCCAGAACCACATAGACATCGAGCTGTTGATATTACTGGTGTCCGAGTACACGGAAAATAATACAACTGATAGGGGTCTGAAGCAATGCATTTTGGGGAGGGGGGGTTACTGTGTTACACCACATTCTCTAACAAGATTGATTATAACACATTTTTGTGACCAAATATTCTAGAATTGTGTATTCTAGTGTGTAGAAGACCATTTGTAATGCAGTACATGAATGTTTCTTGTGTTTGTAATGGTTTTTATTATGCTGCAGGTAGACTTTTTCTTTCATTCAGTGTCTGGTTTGACAGGTCATTGTATTTTGCCCTGG